CTCTTTCCTTAAGTTTGTCTATTTATTTCACAAGCAAGAGAGACAGAGAAAGACAGAGAATGCGAGGGACAAATAGCGCCCCCAGCAGGGTCCTGATGGAGCACTGCCCCCAGCAGCCAGCCAGCTCCAGATCTGGCCTTCTCGGGAGGACGTCAGACTTGACTGAGAGTGCTCCCCGGGGATGGCCTCAGACAGTGCCCATGTGGCCACCGCACCCCAGCTTTGACTCCTGTGGAACATGCTCCTCAACCTCCTGCTTCCTACAGTGTTCAACTCGTTCATATATGATCGCATCGCAGCGGGTAGTGCGCAGTCCTGCCGGTATACACACAGCTTCCGGGGCAGCTCCGTGAGGCAGATATGGCTTCTCCAGCCTTCGTTGTGGGTCTTGTCAGACCTCTCAGCATGGTCAATGCCACGTTAGCTGGCTCAGAATTAGTCGGTTTGAGGGAGTTGTCTAAACAATAAGATCTAATTAGCGTTGGTAGAGCTTTTGCTATGGCCTGGACAAGGATCGAAGCACTTTACAGTATTAAGTCACTGAATCCTCATAACATCACAGGAAGACTTCCTTGCTATGTAGTTTTACAGATGAGGTAACTAGGGTAGAACAAACATTAAGAAAACTTATCTCAGCCTGACATCAGCAAATAGCATAGTCAGGATTCGAACACCGAGAGTCTGCTCTGGAACTTTGGCGCACCCTCTATGCCGTCTCCTAGGTGTTCGTTTCTACTTTTCTTATGAAATTGTCGATATTTTGGCTTTGCTCTTTGAACCGAGGTGAAATGATAGATCAGAATGAAGGTAATTTTGTTCTTGCAGATTATTACAATACGAAGTACTGGCCATGTGGTCGCCACAGTGTGACATCGGTGGAGGTGAACTGATACGCCGGCTTCTTCAGGTACTAGCATGAAAATAGTTACCATCCTGCTGGGACGTGCCTAGATAACCAAAGTCTTGTATTCTAACGTGGCTGTGCCTGCAGGGAACAGTGCGCGGGGTCTGCAGGGAACAGTGTGCGCAGGGTCTACAGGGAACAGTGTGCAGGGTCTGCAGGGAACAGTGTGCGGGGTCTGCAGGGAACAGCGTGTGCGGGGTCTCCAGGGAACAGTGTGCGGGGTCTGCAGGGAACAGTGCCTGGGGCCTGCAGGAAACAGTGCCCGGGGTCTGCAGGGAACAGTGTGTGCGGGGTCTGTAGGCATCTACCAGTGGTCAGAGGTGACCCTTGGTTCCTGGTGAAAAAAATGCTGCTCACCTTTGACAAGTTCACTTTCCAGCCAGCTAGTATCCCTCATGGTGGGTAAGAACACAAGATCACAATGCTCAATGGTTACACTGCTCCTCCTTCAGAACTACGGTTGTCTTGAATTCTGTACTCATTTTTATCCCAGTTTAGTTCTTTTTTCTTTTTATTCTTGTTTTCTTTTCTTTTTTTTGAGAGATTTTTGCTATAGGCTGTGCATGCTCACTGGAAAGACGAGAGAGAGAGAAATCACCTGGCAAGGAGGATGGCCATGCCACTATCCCTTCTCCTTCATCCTCCTCTCAGGATTTTGGGCATGCACGCACTTGTTCCCTGAATGAGTTTCAAGCCGCTGGGTCCAGGACTTGAACTGTGATTGGGCTTGTGGGAGTCCAGTGCCACAACTGCTTCGTTACCTGCTGGCCCCAATTTTATTTATTTATTTTTGGTGTGTTATAGGATATGTGCCCTCATCAGAGAGAGACAGAGAGAGATGGAACATGGGAAATCACCTCCCCAGGAAAGACAGCCACACTATAATCCTTCCCTCTCCCATCTCCTCTTGGGACTTGAGGCACACACACGCATGCCCAGCGTAATTCTCGAGCCACAGGGTCTAGGACTCGAACCCACAGTCAGCCACGTGGACGTGTTAATGCCTTAACTGCCATGTCCCTTACTGATCCCTTATTTACTTGTTTTTTTTTTTTTAACTTGCCACTCTCCAGAGAAAAAATAATACATAGTAGGTATTCAGTATTGATAAAATTGAAAATAATTTCCCTTGATGTCAGTGACCTCAGAGAAACTGCTGGCAGGTGGCTGGAAGACCTAAAAGCCATGCGAGGCACAGCGACCGCTGAGAGCCAGAGGGCTTTAATTCCCAGAACTGACAGACTAAGAAGCATCGTCTTGAGGCAAACACATGTGGACAGGGATTCCTGTCAGGAAACGTGGCCGCTCCCATCGGCAGTGTGGAAGGTTTGACACTTTATGAGTCGTGCATTCTAGAAGGGAAGGACCAGAGCTCCGTGCCTCGTGTGGGGAATGAGTAAATGCCTTGCTGCCACTTAGGTCCAGCCCGAGCTGGCTGGCAGTGTGCCCGTGTGCAGACTGGCCGAGGGACTGGGGAGGACTGGTGGAAGGGTGGAAGGGTGGAGACTCCCGAAGCAATTCGTCGTATTTCTTTATAACCTTAAAAAAGCTCAAGTTTGCATCTGATTTATAAATATTCCACTCTCAAGTCACCATAATGTTTCACCTTTAATTTCTTTGTATCTTAGGAGATAAACCTCATATTATCTTGGTACAAATTTATTTCTCTTTCTAGGATTCTGTGTGTTAGTTCCTAATTGCGTTTCCTGGGACTTTAGAAGGGAAACATGACAGTCGGGGCCAGCAGGAAGAAGCCAGTGGGGACAGTTTCTGGCCTCGGGGTTGGAGGGAGACTGATGTACTCAGCTTCAGAGCCAAGTATACATAGCCGTATAGATAGCCAGAGGTGATTGTTTTCCCCCTGGTTCAAAACTAGAGTCCTCAGAGGAGTGACTCTGAATATATGCTTTTAATAAACACAATTTATTTAAAAAAAAAATCCCCTTGCCCAGTGTAAAGAGAAGAAGCCCAAGATATCTCACAAAGGACAAGGAGCACAGGCATCTGGGAGGCCAGCCTCTCTTCCGGGAGGGTGAAGTGTTTGCCTTGTTTTTAAGATGGAATTTTGCTGCTAATCTTGAACTCTCAGGGCAAGGAGAAACAGGAAGCCCTTGGGAACACAGAATGACATGCTGAACTCTGAAATTAAAACAGGAAAATTCACCTGACTTGCCCTCTCAAAGCAGCTTCCATAGTTTCCCGAAGAAAATGAAAGAGAGTAATTGCGACCCGCTAGGTTGCGTACACTGGAAGGCCCACATTCGTTTGTTCACAGTGTTTGCGACAATGTGAAGTGGGACTTTGTACACACTCCCTCAGGTAAGAAGGTCTGGTTTAGCAAAAAAGTTTTAGGAGCCAGCACATGGTACAGTGGCTAAGGCATTGGACTCCCACGAGGCTTACTATGGTTCGAGTCTTGGACCCACTGGTTTAAATATCACACCGAGTGTATGTGCGTGCGTGCCCAAAATTCCGAGAGGAGAACAGAGAGAAGGGATTGTGGTGTGGCCATCACTTTGCCTCTCTCTTTCTTTGCCCGATGGCAAAAACCTAAAAAAATAAATAAAGTTTCAAAAGCACTTCTTGCTTTTCTTTGCTTCGGTGTGGTGCTCTTTCATTCTGAGATCAACACCAATGTCTAATAGCACCTCATGAATGTGCCTGCAGGTACTCCTGTCTCATCTGTCTGTTCAAGGGCTTCTCCACCCTTTCTCCCTCATCACAGTGAGAACAACCCGGGCTCTAACTCCTAGGGCACAATTTGGCTGTACCAGAGATTAAGTAGAGTAAATCCTCTATTCCACAGCTTCACGTAGAGGGGGTAGCAGACTCCACCAGAAAATATGAAGTCCCCTTCACATGATATTCGAACTCGAGCTTGTTCATGCTTACATTGTATCATCGCCATGCAGGCCACAGGGCAGGGTCTTCATCTGCTTTGTTCACAGCTTCGTCCCCGGAAGGCCCGTGCCCAGCCCCTACCCCTATTCTGTGGGGAAATGAGTGGAGGATAAGCAGGCAGCGCTGGCTCAGAGGGAGCGGCAGCCAGACAGAGCAGCCATGCCGAGCACGGGAGGGAGAGCTCCGCTTCATCATCTCAAAGGGAAGAGCCTCGTGGGGCTGAAGATGGAAGGAGAGATTAAGTCCAGAGGAAGGGGCCCTTCAGGCCTCTGAAAAATACGCACTGGTCTTTTGGAGCCGAAATGCAGAAACGAGCAAGAATCTCTTTACTGGGTGAAGATGGGGGAGAAAAAGGGCCTCGTTTCCAGCGGGCGGGCGAGCATTAGACTCGGTCACCGCCCTGGAGGGTGTACATGAACGTGGAGAAACGCGATCGAGGGTGCAGATTAACCCAACTCACACCGTACGACGAGACAAAGCCTGGGGTCCAGGTGACAGCAAATGCAGCCAGCACAGCAATGCGTGCCATTACTGTGAAAGAATCTTTGGAGCTCCCGTTTTAGTCACATCCGTTCTAGGGTGCTGGGTCTTGTTGGATGTTTCTTTTTTAGGTTTTTACCATAGACAGCATGTGCTTGCAGAAGAGAGAGAGAGAAAGTGAAAACTCGCGCGTGAGGGGTGATGGCCATGTCACAATCCCTTCTCCTCTGTTCTCCTGGGATTTGGGGCATGCACATACATGCACACAGCATGATTTTCAAGTCAATGGGTCTGGGACTCAAACTGTGGTTGGACATGTGGGAGTCCGCCTTAACCACCACACACCTGCTGGCCCCAAAGGTGTCCATATTTTAAGTGAAGGGGTCTATAAAGAGTAAGAAGAAAGTATGAGGAAGGATTGATTTAAAGGAAGGAGGTAAGCTGACACACTTATTGTTGCTTCCTCTGCATAAACCCAAAAGGCGATGCTTTTAGCCTTACTTGCAAATATAAAAATGAGCTTTTGATTCATTGTAGAGAAGAATTTCCTGTTAACTTAAGAAATGCACAACCAGGGTGCAGAATACGACCCCTAGTCTGTACAGAGTATTTTCAAGAGTAGACAATCTTCAAATAATAAAATAATTATTGCAGATCCCGCAGTTCCACTCCTAGGTAGGTACCAAGGAAAATAAAACATAACGTCCACAAAAACTTGTACATTCATGTTCGTAGTGGCAGCATTTATAATGGCCAAAAAGTAGAAATCCCCAAATGTCCAGCAAAATACGGTGTACCCATGAGACAGAATGTTATTTATCAAAGAGAATTAAATGGCTGATGCTTGCAGCAACATGGATCAACCGTGAACACATTCTACAAAGTTAAAGGATTCAGTTACATAAGGCCACGTATTTTATAATTCTACTTACCTAAGATGTACAGAATAAACAACTTCATTACAACAGAAAGCAGGGCAGTGGCGGCCTCGGTCTGGAGGTGCAGGGGGGGAGAGTGGCTGTAATGGGCCTGTGTATGTTTGGGGTGATGAAAACAGGCTAAAATTAGACGGTGCTGAGGACTGGGCGCATCTGTGGGTCTACAGAAACCTCTGACTACCCTTGACGCGGGGGAATTTCGTGCATATGAATATTTCAGTAACACTGTTAAAATTTTGTAGAGAGTAAACATTTACTTAGACTGACAAGGTCTAAGTATAGCCAGGGAAAGAATGTGGAGCGCATGCCTTTTATCAGCTCTTTGACTTTGACCGAGGGTAAAGACGTAGATGGGACACAAAGACAGAAGGGCTCGGGTGCTTAAAGACGGTCCCCACGGCCCCTTCGCGTAGGTTAGAAAGGAAGATGCTTCACTTGCGCGTTCCCAGAGATGCCTGGGGAGGCCAGGTAAGGCCCAGCTTTCGCTGGTCAGCGGTGAACATCCTGTTCGCGGCCTCTTTCCTGAATAATTGTCTTTGACTCGAAGCTTCTACTGTCTGCTAGAGAAGAGGGTGTGATCTGTCAATATATAAACCAGAACATGCTACTCTTTCCTTTTTTTAAAAGAATTATTTTATTTAACTTTATTTATTTTCATTTGACCAGAGAGGGACAGAGTGGGGCGAGGAGTGAGAAAGCAAGCCGCCAGGTCCAGGACTCGAACCACGGTCAGCCATGGGAGTCTCCAGCGCCCTTAAACGCCATGCCACCTGCCGGCCCCTAATCTTTCTATTCCATCCAATGTGCAGTTCAAAGTACTTCCTCTCCTCCACATCTCACACGGGCGGACTCCTCTGCTTCCTTCCTGATTCTCCCCTTTCCCATCAGGCTCCAGCCACACTGGAACCTTCCCTGGCTTCTGGAGGTACGAAGGTTCCCTCCACCTTGGGACCTTCGCATTACCTGTGCCCCCACCCCCCCAAGCGTGCTCGTCTC